TGCGGCATTCTTATATTTTATTATCTATGCAAGACCCTGTAACTTTCAACAGACCATCAGATGATACTGGCTAATTAATTATGTAAATGTTTTATTGTTCCGCAGGATCCCGTCATAAAATGAATTAAATCACCAGTCCATTAGACCACCCAGAAGTACCAACCTATAATAAAAATATTTATTTATTTTGAAGACGAAGATTGGTAGAAGTATTTTCATTTTATTAACGTTAATAAAGCTTGAGTATAACCATTTCATTGATTACCGATGTTTGTTTTCTCTACTGCTCTATTCATCTGGGTTATTTTCACGACCGATGAGACAATCAGTACCTAACTAGGTACTGAATTACTTATAAGAAGGTCGTACAGGGTTTTTCACATAACATGGGCCACCCCCTTATTTGGTAAACTAGTATATATAGATACAAAAACAATTGATATTCGGAAATGTAAATATTTTTATGACAGGATGATCCATATGCCTGTGACATATCAAACATACGATTTTTCAAACGGAATCAATACCCTAAATTTCATTTCGTCCTTGAATAGAGCTCAGAAAGACGAGTTCAGTGATATTGATAACATGGGTCTGAGATCACCCGTTTCGGACTAATCCATGATCTTCAATAAATTGACAAATTTCACGTTGAGAATCGAGTTTCAGGTGCTCAGTTTTGGTCATGAATTGCCAAATTCTATATGTTATCTTGATATTTCCTCAATATTTAGAAATTTCGAATTTGCCAAAAAAGTGATTACGTATTTTGCAAACAACCCATCATTTTCTCGAAATTTCCAAACGGAACACCCAATATTTCATGATACAAAATAACATGGGTCTGAGAACACCCGGTTCGGACTTGATCTTCTTCAATTATTCTAATTTCACTCTAAAAACTTCGTGGAAAGTTCTACATGCCCGTTTTTTGTTATACATGGTGTCCTTAGATATAACCGACAAAACTCATGGGGTTATAGGGACTGCCAATATGAATGCAAATTGTCATATACAAATGACCAAAACCGCTTCTTTACTGACTTGCATTCTTCTGAACGGAGACAATAGCATTGCTTCTTGTTCAGTTGATATAGACAGAACATGGTATTCACAACTAAAATGTGAACATTAGAATGGTAAATTCCAGATTAATTAATGAAAACATCCTGTAACTCCTTTGATTGCCAACGTTACCAATTTTCAATAAAAACTGAAAAGCTTCAAGACAGATACGACTTTGCTATTGAAATAATCATTTCTTATGTTGAAAACGGGAGCAGATTCGGTCCCGAAACGTCCAAAGACAAGTGAAGATTTGATATTTTTTCTATATAGCTTCATTTCTCTTCTCCAAACTTTTTTCAATACAAATTGTCACTGACAAGAAGCAAGTGAATTTTTCTTTTAGGTTCTCTGATAGGAAAATTCTTTTAAACGCAGTGACATTTTGGGGCAAATCATCTGATTTGTCCTTTCTACGTATATTGAAATAATATTCATATTTTCATGTTATAGAAACGAGGAGAGAAAATCCCAATAAATTTGGAATAATGAAGGTACCACCTCCTCGATTAACCTACAGACAGCTAGTATTCAACTTAGTTTTGTTCGAAATTGCTCCGTTTCCGAGATACAGGGTGGTAACAAAAAATTATTTTGGAAAATCCATTTTTGCACTACTCATTCACTGACCAAATTACATTCACAAAGATAACAGCGAACATGCATTTTCATTCAAAATAATTTAAATATTCCGGTGCGGCATCGAGCACTTAAAACCGAAATATCTCGAAATCGGCTTACTTTAGCGAATTTTCACAAGAGTACCTTTCTTCTTAGAAATACCCAAAAAATTATTTCATCAACGAAAAAAATTAAAAAGTACATTGAGAACAAAGTTATGGCCCTTCTGAAGCATTATAGGAATTCCCTTTCGTGTGCACCAAGCGATAAAAAAAGTGCATTTGTAAGCGCCCTGTAATGGCACAGTGAAAATGTGTCCGTATGCGGGTTCGGCATCCCAAAGATCACCCGGTTACCAATTTTTTAAGTGGTACGTTCAAAAATGTTCATGAATTTTGAAGATTTTTTTATTATTTAAATTTACCACCCTGTATCTCGGAAATAGATCAATTTCGGACTGAGATGAGTTGCTTCAAATCGGCTCATTCAGACCTCACCTTTTAGTGACACCCTGTACTTAGAAGAAAATGAAAAAGTGTCATTTCGGTCCTGATAGGAATGTATTTTTTTTAGGTGACGAGAATGATAATTCATAAAATATTTATACGAAGTTATCAAAGGGAATAACAACAATAATTATGTCTTGGTTTCGTGAATATTCATCGTATTTCCATTTCTGATGATATTTTTGCCGACGATTAATGAAAAAATTCAAATAATTTATTACGGAATGACTGACATTGTGCCAGAAACTTTTTCAACAAGTTCCTATAGTCCTTTCCCTGTAGATTCACAATATGACCTGAGATTCTTGATAATTATTTTACAGGGTGAGTTATTCTCACAATAACTCAACATGAGAAAAATATATACTCCGGTCCTGATATTGATTTCGTTCAGATACTTATATAGAAGCCTATGAGTTCAACTCATGTACCTAATTTGAACCCAATCGGGTAATTCCTGTATTCAATATGGCAGATTCACAAATTACTCTGTATCAGTAACGAAGCGGTTTTGGATGTTTGTATATGGCACTCTGCCATCAAGTCGGCAGGCCCTATAACCCCACAAGTTTTGTCGATTTTATCTCTGGACACCCTGTATATCTCTATTACTATTCTTAAATATTTTGAGATTATATACTACTTATTGGAGAAGATCATATGGATGAAAAAAAATACAGGGTTTTCCATTTGAAAATTTCGAAAAAATGATGGGTTTGCAAAATACGTCATCACAAATTCGAAATTTTCAAATATTACCGAAATATCATCCTGTATAGTTGACATTATCTGAAAAATCAAGTTCATATGACTAGGAACAACTTCGATTCTCAATTGTTTTTGTATCTATTCTAGTTCAGTTTACCAGATAAGGGGGTGGCCCATGTTGAGGATACCCTGTACATTTTTCATCAGCAATGAAGAACAAATCGTTTCATTGAAAATTCGTATCCGTTAATAATCGATTCCGCCCATTCACCTAAAATAATCCATTCAATACAATATGTAAACCGGGTGTCCCAGATCTTTTCGTACAGCCAATATCCCAGTTATGGAGCTTGAAAAAAAAATTTAAAAATTACACTTGTCAAACCCCAATGACTTTGAAGCCATTGTGTCAAAGTCAACTTTCGTCAAACTACCCCTGGAAAACCACCCACCAACTTCATTTTTTCAAATTACACCCTATATATTTTTTATTCATTAGTGAAGTGCAATAAATTCGTATTTCAACGATGATATTGATAGTTTGACAAACGTCAGACCAAAATCACAAAATTTGTAGGAACAGTATTAGGTGTAGATGATCTCTTTTGTTATGATTTTTTTTATAGTAGTTCGTGCACGCGTCTTTTAGTCAGTTTTTTGACAGTTTGCCGTGCACGCGTGTTTTAGTCAGTTCACCACTGCAATAAAAGCGCTCATACCGTCCAACCGCAACATGTGCGCTGAAGACGAGTGTACAGTGTGTCTTTTCGATGCTTTTGTATGATATCTTAGTCATCTTTAGAGATGGAACCTTGCGGTTTTTGAGGTCCTGTGCCACTTTTTTGTGAAACTCAAGATAGTCTAATCAGGTTTTGCAGGACTGTTTCCGTTTATGAGATACAGAAGAGCGATTTTGAAAATTTATACTTTTTGGACTCCCTCTATATCTACGAAGTTTATCAGCGAAAAGGTCAAATTCAAATCTTAACCTTTAGAGAATTTTATGCAGAATCCAGTGGTGCACTAATTTTTTTTTTCGGGGTATGGTTCTGAAGATACGACTCAAACTTATGATATTTTAAATTGAACACCCAGCATTTTATAAGTTAATTAAATTTCAAATTTTTTTCCCTCTGAAATGATATATAATGTATGAATATAACATTTTCAAAAATGTTCAAAAATCACTAAAACATTGAATTTTAATAGTGGGCTATGGGTTTTTCAAGAGATTTTCATATAAAGAAATTTACAATTGAAGGAATATTTCCTTGTTCTATGAAGGGGGTAATAACAATTTCAACACTAATCAACTTACAAAACACAAGACTTAGATACCTGATATCCACAAATATATAGTAATAAAGAGTTTATAATTTAGAATAAGCACCTGATTAAATATTTACTAAAACAATTCAATTTCGAAAATATTCAGTAATTTATTCATTGAATTGTTTGAATTGATGACCATTTTACATAACAAACTTTCTCAATACATATTAATCATTGAATGATGTATTTGTAATTCCTGGAAAACTGCCTCTGTTGTTGCACAAGTTGCACAGTTTTTCAAGTATGTTGGACTCACTGTATTAAGAAGTATTGAGAAAGTTTGTCAACTGTATGTTAGAGAAAATAGACATCAATTTGAACATGTCAATGAATAAGTTACTGAATAATTCCGAAATTCAATTGTTTCAGTAAATATTTAATCAGGTGCTTATTCTATATTATGAACTTTTTATTACTATTTATTGGTTGCTATCAGGTACCCAAGTTTAGTGTTTTGTTAATTAATTAGTGTTGATATTGGTTTTGACCTCAACATTGAAAAATTTAAAGAAACATTTCTACACTTGGAACGTTTTTTATAAGAAAAATCCATAGCCAACTATCAAAATTCAATATTTTAGTTCACTGTGGCCAGTGTAGCTGAAGGTAATTCATCAATAATAACTCAATGGTGCACCTTTTTTGCATACTTTATTATTCTCTGGTGATTTTCTGACCAATTAGTGGTTTTATTCTGATTTGTTGAGAATGAGAAGTTATGATTTCCAAAAGCACTTCCCCAAAATCAACGTGTCTCCTCATTTCCAGATATGGCATCGGCAACCAAATAAAATGGACCAACCTCAACCCTAGCGAACTAGTCTCCCAAATGAAACAGAAAGAATCCCAGTTCGACTATCACTCTCTGGAGGATTACCTGAGACGAGCAGGCATCACGACCGGGTACCAGGAGAAGCCCTGCTTGAATCCCAAAGACCCCGACTGCCCTAACGGCGCTCCGAACAAAAATCAAACGCATCCCCTGGACATCGGGGCAGAGCTGACCAGCGGCTGCTATGGTTTCCTTCCGAAATACATGCACTGGCCCGAAGAACTGATCATCGGCGACATTCAGAAGAATAAGTCGGGGCACATCAAGAAGGCCAAGGCATTGCAGACCATCGTGCAGCTCATGGGGGAGCACGAGATGTACGAGTTCTGGTCTGGGCATTTCAAGGTGCAGCATACGGGGTGGAGCAAAGAAAAGGCTACAGTTGTTCTACATGCTTGGCAGAAAAAGTTTGCAGAGGTAACTTACTTAAGGTCTTTGATTTATAATGTGCAAATTGTTCTTTCTTGTTTGGCTATAGTCAGTAAACCGGGGATACCCAATTTTTTCATTTTTGAAATGTATATCTGAACACTTATTATTATTCCCAGTTAACAGTATCTCAATTGAAAACTAGTTTGAAACTTTCACTATACAACTGACATTTGGAATTTTTCTTAGTTGCTTCAACATTGAGAGGTAGCACAGGCTACGCATCATTCGAACCCCCGTTGGTCTATTGCGTTCTGGACTGCAATTAGACGTATGAATGACGGCATATATTTCATGACATGATTACTATTCCTCCAAATATTTCACTACATTTTGAGTTAACATAGACATAGACACGTTTTTGAATTGCAGAATGAAAATAATAATAATTTCCGCCTGAAGAATTGCAGGCATAACCGTATTTTTTGTGTTGTACCAGCTAAACACAAAGGATGAATGATACAAGTTGATTAAATTAAAAAAGTTGCTTATGTTAGGGGCCAAAAAAATGATGTCGAGGAATTTGAAATAACACTACCAAATATACAGGGATAACGGAATCTGTCGTTGTGCTAGCGTCTCCATTTTTAGGAATATGAATTCTTTCTAGTTATATTGTCTAAGCTTGTAAATTTATAATTTTAAAAATGCATATGAATTTGTTTCTATGAAATTGTATGAACACATACATTGAAAATTCCTCTTAACATCATTCATAAGAATAATATTAATGAGTTAAATACATCACTTCCATCTCCAGACAGATTTGGTCTGATAAGCATATTATTAAGGAAGATATTTCAAATCAGTCTTTTTGTAAGTTCAAGTGATAGATTATCTAACAATATTTTCTGTTACAGGAAATAGAGCGTCTATCAAAAAGCAAGAACCCCTCGTCGTCCTACCTGTTCTACACCTTCTCAACAGCGAATGTAAATAAAATTCTCAAAGAATACTCGCGCTCGGACCTAGTGAAACTTGGTGTCGTGTTAGGTTTAACCTGCGTGTACGGTTGGATCGCGCACTCCGGCCTCGCAACCTTAGGTGTTCTAGTCTTAGCAAGCTCCACGGCAGCAGCGCTGGGAGTCTGCAGCCTCATAGGCCTCCCGATGAACCTTCTCAGCACGCACGTGTTACCCTTCGTGACTGTGGGACTCGCCATGCGGGAGATGTTCCTCATTCTTTCTACACACACGCGAAAACTTTTGCCATCCGAAGTGCTTCAAAGGACAGGACCGAGTATCATATCGGCAGCGCTCATCAATTCCGGGGCGTTCGTAGTCGCGGCCATTTTGCCAATACCTGCGTTGAGGGTGTTCTGTTTGCAGTGCGCGATCATGATTGTGTTTCATAGTACAGCCTTGCTTATTATGTTTCCGTCGTTTCTTGCCTTGCAGCAAAGGTGTCAAAAAGCTGACGTACCTTGCTTCAGGACAGAGACGAAGAAAAAAGTAGGCAGCAAAGCAAAGGATGTTGACCTGGTGAGTTATTATCTGTGTATCTATTCAGTTCTCAGTATACTTACTGTATAGTTTGTACTTAGTTCAATTGTTTTGATTAAATAATAGAGTTATATAGGGTTGAACTGACACTACAAAATTATACATTTTCTTTGAGGCTATGTTATTAAAAAAGTATACGACTGAAAAAAAAATAGGTAGTCAGAGTCAACATAACTTTTTCTCATGGTGGATTTCATCTGCCTCAGGAGTTCCCTAGGGATATCACCTAGTAATATGCTGTTCATCACGAATTTCGGCATATCGAAATTGTTCTCTCATTTTGTTATCCATGTTCAAATGTGAATGTGCATTAACATTCTTTTTTTCAATTGTTTCAGGAGCATGGGAACAATTTACTCACTGCCGAACAGGTCTGTCAACAAAAAAAGAGCCTTATATCTTGGTGTGTTACACGTTACCTGACCTCCGTGCTTCTGCAGCCCTTCATGAAGGGTCTAGTGTGCGTCACTTATGTGGTACTAATTATTTTTTGTGTATTCAATGGACTGAAGTTAGAATTCGATGTAAGACTGTCAACATTTTTACCGAAAAATACCCAAGAGTACAAATACTTAGAAGCGCAAAACAAGTTCTTTGGCTTTTATAACTTTTATCTGGTTACCACTGAATTGGAGTATCCGTTGAATCAACCTCTTTTATATGAATACCATTCCTCTCTTACTAAAGTTCCTCACGTCTTAAAGGATTCCAATGGAGGCTTGAACATGAATGACTTCTGGCTAGCAAATTTCCGGGACTATCTCATTGATCTCCAGCAAGAGTTCGACTACAGTCGGAACACTAGCTGCGTGAATAGCGAAAAGTGGTTTTCGAATGCCACAGAAAAAGCAGTATTAGCGTTCAAGTTACTAGCGCAAACTGGAATCGTTGAATTTCCGGTAGATAAAAGTCAAATATTCAAGAAAAGACTGGTTCAGAATGATATTATAGATCCCAAAGCATTTTATAATTATTTATCAGTATGGAGTAGCAACGATCAGATCGCATATTCAAGTTCGCAAGCTAATCTTACACCAAAACCTTTTGAATACTACACTTCCAAAGGTGAGTTTGATTTGAAAATTCTCAAGTCCCAACCTCTAGTTCATACCCAGATGCCCTTCTACCTAAAAAACCTCAAAAACACCAATAGTATTATAAAGACTCTGAGGCAAATAAAAGAAATATCGGAGTCTTTCAACGAAAGGGGATTGAAAAATTATCCGATGGGACTCATCCTTGCCTACTATAATCAGTTCCTACTATTTGATCGATTATTGGCTGCTCAATTGGTGTTGACCCTGATATCAGCAGCAATAGTCGCATGTGTTCTGGTCCAGTGGACTAAACTCTGGTGCGCACTGTTCACCACCTTAGTGTGTATGTTGTTACTATTATTGATAAGTGTTAATGCACTGAGTGGAACAATGGGTACCATACATTTCATAATAATAAGTAGAAATGTATTTTTAATACTGACTGGTTTCCTAAGTGCCCTCGGTAGCAGGGAACGTCGTGTGAGATTGTCACTGGAAGTAAACTCAGAGCCCATTATGAAAGGTGATATAGGGCTAGTCATCTGTACTTCAGTATTAGCCACTTCACAATTCGAATTCATCAACACTCACTTATTTTCCCTAGTGTTATTATCAGTTTGTAGTTCGCTAGCCAATTCATTTGTGTTCTTCCCTCTCATGCTTGCTCTAGTTGGCCCCAAGGCTGAGTTACAGCCCCTGGAGCACAGCGATAGGATTTCCACTCCCCCTCCCCCTACTCCTTCTCCAGTGCCCGTTAGAACTGGCTTCTCGAAACCGTCGAAGCGGAGCGCATCCGCTAAAACAACGCGAGAACCTAGTTTGACCACGATAACTGAAGAAAGCTGTAATCAGAGTATCACGGTCGAACCGCAAGTTACTGTAGAGTATAGTAGTCCAGAATCTAGTTCTAGCGGTCCATTCACGACCAAAGTCACTGCCACGACTAATATCAAAGTTGAATTAGTCGCCCCTGTATATAGATCAAGTAAGTGTAATCACAAATGTCATAGATCTTGTAAGTGCGACAGACGAAAAAAGCAAGAGCAAAAACAGTGCCGTTGTTGTAAACAAGACTCAAATAGTAGTGACAGCAATGCAGACGCTGACCAGTGTCCAAGTAGCTAACGTATTGTTACCATGTAAGGAATCAATGTAAGATATGTTTATATTGAATATATGTATACCAAACATTTATTTATTCAAACGAAAACCATGTAAGATAGAAAACTAAGTTAATGAACGAATACTTAACGGGTGAGTGCGGAACCAGGTACACGCCTATTTGAACACAATATTTACTGATTTGTAAACACTGCATGAGTTTTGCTCCATTAGTTTTGAACCGGACTGAATAGGATATTTCGGATATTAACTGAATTGAATCACAGAAAGTATTTTTGTAATTGATGAAGTCAAAAATGATATCTTATTTTAAAGATGAATAAAATATATCAAATTGAATGTTCATTCTCCACTATCAAATTATTGCTTTAACACATAAGTAGGTACCAAAAGTTGATACTTGTGATGACGTAACATTTAATTTTGGAATTTTTTATCTTATCCTAGCTACCTGAAAGTCTTGAGGAGGATGGCTAATGCAGTATTTATTTTTTATTTTTTTTCATTAATGTTAATCTCAGATGCATGGATCCAGACAATTTTGCCACTTGATTAGAGTTACACCTCGAGTTACACACTTGCAGAGCTGAGTATTATTTATTATGTCAAATACTTTCCTGTATTTATATACCATTTAGTATTCCAATGCCTGGTACAAGTAATTATATTCTTACTTACGATTCTTCTCCTTCTAATTATTTGTTGAAATATATTTGAATCTTATTATTTGCAAACATTCTAGTAAAATATTTGAGGAGCATTTGAATATTTCCGAAATATTCGAATACCCCAATAATAGGTAGGTAAAATACTTATTGAAAATTAGCTCCTACTTTTGTGATGAGAAATCATGTATTTGAATAGTTCGCGAATTCAAATACTTATCATAGAAATATTTGGATACTTTGGAGATATTTAAATATTTTGAAAATATTCATACGCCCTGAAAGTATTTGAATCTTCTCAAAAAATGTAAAACTCACTATGAAATATTCAAATAACTTCATATTTATTATTTGAATAGTTATCGACCATTTTACATATTCAATATTTGAATCTCTTCAATCCATCAAGTATTTGATACTTAACAATAGAATACTTGTTTTAAGTATTTACCCAGCTCTGCATTTGAATTCCATTCCAAATTGCATAATCCAAAAAATGATCTTATTGAAACCCTCACACTATATCGATTGGGTTTTATGTTTTATCAGTGTGAAAGCAGCCAGGCGTTTCTATCCACGTTTCGACGCAAGGTGTATCGCGCGACCATAACGTTGATAAAACACATACTTCAAATTACATTTTATGGATTGAAAGTATAGAATTGATTGATTCACATGAATACATATATTAGGTATAAGAATGTATTTGGTAAATTACATCGATATAACACTCAACAATCTGTCGGGCATGTTTTCACGCTGAATCCTACCCCCGAACTTGGGAAAAATTCTTCGATTTCGAAAAATCATGAGTTTTCAAATTCGGACCATACAATTGATTTTTTCTTATAAAGTTATAGTAATAATGTTAATGATATGACACCCAGTTTTATACCGGGCGAGTTTTCACCCTGAATCCACTTCTCAAATTAATGAGGAACATTTCAACCTTGGAAAATCATACGTTTTCAAGTTCGAAAATTACATTTTTTTTTTCTCATAAAGTTATAGCAAATATGATGGTGAATGATATCTACGACACCCAGTATTTTTCCGGGCGAGGATACACCCCGAATCCACCCCTGTCATTAACCATCACATTTACAATAACTTCATGAGAAGAAATCAATTTTATATTCCGAATTTGAAAAATTATGATTTTTCAGGGTTGAAGGTTTCTTCGTTAGTTCGAGAGGTGGATTCGGGATGAATCCTTGCGCGGCAAAATATTGGGTGTCGACGATATCATTCACCATCCTATTTACTATAACTTTATGAGAAAAAACTAGTTTTATATTCCGAATTCAAAAGCTTCTGATTTCTCAAACTTGAAGATTTTCTCCTAAGTTCGACGGGAGGATTTCAGTTGAAAACTGCCCGGCAAAATACTGGGTGTCGAAGATATTATTCACCATCTCATTTGATATAACTATGAGGAGAAAAGAATTATTACGAATTTGAAAACTTACAATTTTTCAAAATTGATGATTTTATGCTATGTTCGATGGTAGGATTCAGGGTGAAAACTTACCCGGCAATTCTTTAAGAGTTATAGATGTCATTAACCATCACATTTACAATAACTGCATGAAAAAAAAAAACAATTTTATATCGCGAATTTGAAAAATTATGATTCTTCAATTGAAGATTTTCTCCTGAGTTCCTAGGGAGGATTCCGGGTGAAAACTCGCCCGGCTAAATACTGGGTGCAATAGATGTCATTCACCATCTCATTTACAACAACTTAATTAGAAAAAAATCAATTTTATATTGCGAATTTGAAAATTTATTATTTTTCTAACCATGGTTTTTTCATCAGTTCGAGGGGTTGATTCGGGGTGTATCCTCGCCCGGAAAAATACTGGGTATCGTAGATTTCATTCACCATCATATTTACTATAACTTTATGGGAAAAAACAATTTTATATTTCGAACATGAGAACTTATGATTTTCCAAAGTTGAAGATTTTCTCATTATCTGAGAAGTGGATTCAGGGTGAAAATTCGCCTGGTATATTACTGGCTATCGTATAGATACCATTCACCATCACATTTACTATAACTAAGAGAATTGTATGTTCCAAATTTGAACTTATGATTTTTCAAAATTGAAGAATTTCTCCTAAGTTCGAGGGTAGGATTCAGGGTGAAAATGTTCCCGACAAATTTCTAATTGTCATAGATGTCATTTACCATATACACTCTTATACCTTATATATTTATTTATATGAATAAACCAATTCTATACTTTCAATCTATGAAATTTAATTTGAATATAACTTCCTGAAAAGTTTACGATTTCGGTTATTGTCGCGCGATACACCTTGTGACCGCTTTCAGACTGGTTTATGTTTTATTGTATTGAGTATTGTTATATAGATCTAGAATGTGTGCGAGTTATTATGATGCAACCTAAAACCGCCAAGACCAATTATTGTTTGAAATATGACAATTTACAACATCAAAAGTGGTATTAATTTAGTTTCGGGTCTTTGTTTATGTGTTTTATTCACACTTTTATAACATGAGACTGATGAGTATTAAACATATCCCATTTCAGTATCAGATTAATTTTAGCTACGATTACATTACTGAAGTAGCTAATTCGTAATGGGCAATTTTTTGACACATGCTTTATTAAGTTATTTAGTTTGTGCTTGAAAACCGCAGAAAAGTTATTCTTGTACCTAATTTATTTTAGATATTTAAAAATTGTATACTACTAATATAAAATTATTGTGAAAGAAAAAGGACTGTATTAGGTTCCGTATTATTTATATTATTTTTCAAGTAAAGACTATTTTGACAATTTTTTTGTAGCCTCAATTTTAAAATATATTACCATCACCTGTTCCATCTTAGAAATGATGATATACCAAGTTCAAAAGCAATTTTTCTAAGCGTGCTTCTAGTGCTCAATAACAACATGCTAAAAATCAACACTCAGGTTGCGAATATCAAAAAAGTTCCCATCAAAAATTTAAGAGGAAATGAAAGGAGAACATTTTTGTCAGCTATGCTTTTTTCATATTTGCAACGGATACCAAGTTATAGACCAGGAAATGAGTTATAAAAAATATGTCCTCATATTTTCTTCATAGTATCATCGACGACGAGTTGATAATAATGGTCTATATAGTTCCTCATATAGTCCAGATAACAGAAAACCTGACAAGTATTTCTTCTGGCGTTGTCAATGATAGTGCTGTGAATGGCAAAGAATCAATGAAAGCATTATTAGGAGTTATTTTTTCGACGTCCTTATCCCAAGAAGAGCAAGAGCTATTCCTTTAGGCGGGATAACATCAGCAATCAGAGTTAGTGAAATATTGTTCCTGTCAATACACAACAATTATTCAACAGAATCATTCACTTAAATATATGTGTAGAAGTTCTCAAGGAATACTCCAAGTTTGAATTAGTTCCAAAGCCCATCTGCCTTCTCACCGAATCTCATATGTAGAAAGGAACAAAATCTTCCCTTGTTTCAGCTCCCACAACCAACTGAAACTCAGTTCAATGAACATACTTAATCACCCATACAAAGGGTGACTTTCTCTCTATGTCAAAAATAAGGAAGCTCTCAAGTGAAACAAGACATGAAACATAAAGTACTGGCACACTTCGATCACTACCACAACAGCAGTATCTTCCCAACACTCTTTCAGATTACCTACAGCACAGGCTAGGTATTGATCTAAATCCATATCAATGGGGTTGGATTGTTGGATTCATCACAACCAGTATCCACAAACCATCCTCCAAGTCGGTGTGAAACGTCTTGTGAGTGTGAAAGATCACGTCTTCTGTGCTCAGCAATGTGTAGTAACTGTGAAGGCAGATCATGTGGAAATTCACCTGAATTCGATACCCAACTTGACGATATTGATCCGAAAATCTAAATATTTCCACATTTTCAAATAGTGCTCGTCGCGTACTATATTATGGAATTTTTGTTTTTGACGGTCGACGGATTCCAAATTAGGAGACTGTTGTGGGTTGAAATCGCACACACTGTAATGTTAACCTCTTCACCATATATTTGGGTGAATTGTTGTCGTCAAGACACTATTTTTTCTCGCCGCCTCCATCATAATTTGGCATAGACGAAGATAATCGATAAAGAAATACCCAAAAACAAGAATGCTGCACACTTGTGCTTTTTTTCGGATCGCACGAAAGTAAATCCCTATGATTATCGTCAAACATCATGCGTACCCTAAGAGGATAGGGAGAGGCAAGTATTGGAGTTTGTTCGAACATTTGGAGATTATAAGTTGATAATACTTCCTTAGGTATTATAGCATACGGTAGGGAGGGGCAAAGTAATTCAATATATTTTGGGATTTTCTGAAGTTTTATTATATATATTTTTTTTGAAGTGTTGGAAGACTGATCGCAGATTACACTTCCAAAACAAACTTTAGATCCTAACTTAACATTATTATAGATACATACCTTACTTAAATGCAAGAATTAAGCAAACACTAAAATAAAACCCTTTATCACATTTTTTTCTGAATTTCTTGTCCAATCAATAAAAATGAACATTTTTCTGATTACACCAGATTTTTACTGATCGGCCAAACAAATTTCTTTATAGATTTTATAAATAAGATAATGCTAACACACAGGAATTAAAGTGACACATCCTTGATTTGTTCAATAGGAGGAGTTGACAGAAACCAAGCATAATTTCATTTTTGATATTAATTGCCAATGAAAGCAATTCTCATTAAGTAAACCTGATCCGTTTCATTTACACCCAATATCGTTAGTTCCAAGAACAATTATAGAAATTAGAGAAATGGGAGCTCAAATTTGTATCAACACTCAGTATCGGAATAAAAAGTGGAACAAATCAAAGAAAGTAGTTTAGTTACATACAAAAATATATTTAAAAGGATAAGTTTGTGAACCCTCTTATTTTAATGAAAGGCCAAGCCAGATTATAACCCACTTCTGTATATTTTTACACCTGATTAAAATTTGAATTTCTAAGAAATTAAAGTGATAGAATATGTAGGTACACTACAAATAATATAGCAAAAATTGCCCATCAACAAATCGAAACAATAATAAAGAATTTTTACCACAGCAACATTTTTTCTTAGATTGACTAGAAATGCTTTGTTTTCCTCGATTGATCTATTGATAGGACAAAACTTGCTAATTTTCATTACCACAAAAACATACAGAGCAAAAGACGCAATCTGTGACTCTTGATATCTATACATTTCGATTTATATTTAATAAGTGAACATCAACAATTAGATTTCTGAACTTTGAAAATACCAAGAATCAATAAACAGTAGGTACACTATAAAACAAAACTAGTATACTTCATAACGAAGGCCAGCTCAAAATGTTCGTACTTGCACAATAATATGATGATATTACAAATTAGACTATAGGCGTCTTATTCGGTAGAGATAATTAATTTTAGTCCCTGAAGTTATTGATGATTTTAACGTGTCATACCTTCAAGGCAGAATTAATCAATGAATGAATAAGTCATGGTTTATACTGTTTATAACCTGAGTTGCTTGCATAAAATAGTCATGACAAGAAAGAGTTTTTGCCAGCAAAAACCAAGGCATGTCTCTTCAGAATGTACGACTCTTGAAATCTGTCAAACAACAATGAAGACATCGTTAGACTTATTACGTGATGTTGAGGTTAGGATGGAAAAATCATCACATCATCACATTTTATTTTATTGTTAGTATTGTGATAGTTCAATACATTTTGGGAACAAACCCGAATTCAGAGTAATCTTAGCATGGCCATGATTTTGAATTAGGCGACATATCATCATTTCGCCAGCGTGTATCTTCCTTCAGAGGCAGTGACACCTATTATTTTATTTGAAATGCACAATGCACTATAGATGGTAGATTTCAGACTGGGGTTAGCGTCATCAGCATATTCAGTGGCTCGGCGATTCGGGGTGTCTGTTATTCAGTCTCGACCCATTTTCGGCATTTTCTATATCTCTCGACTATAGTAGACTTCCAACTCGAACGAACTATTTATTTCTATCCAGAAAGGAAAAACCTTATCGAATTGAGTCCCATCTGAGCTGATTGATCTAACCTTAGGAGATATTTGATAGATTCTTGAATATTTCAAAAAAAAAAAACTTGACCAGACGAACCTAAACTAATGAGAGAAGAACCTACGAACAAAATACTTCAAGGAAAGCCGGAACACGAAGTTATTTGATCCAGAAGGGATTTGAAGATGTACCTATACACTTATACTCGAATATTTCAAACTTCCAAAACACACCCAAATACTACCTACCACAAAATGCCCGATAATTCTAAAACGTATTCAATGGAGTCATATTCCATGTATTATTGCCCCTGTACTACTTGATTTCGGACGTCAACTCATGGGATACCCTGAATTTATGTGTAAAATACTGATGTACCTAAATCGGCACATGTACCAGGTGTTAACAAAATAATTGTATCAAATTTGAAAAATAAACCTGGGAAAGGGAATATACAGGGTGTTTGATTGATTCACCGAGGTATATCTAGAAGGAGGTGGTAGGTAATATGATTTTGAACATATTCAACTATATATAGTATACCAAGAGTTACACTTTTCGAGAAATCATCGCTCATAAATTCGAAGTGGAATGTTACAGTAATTCGTTTTTTGAATTCTAACGAGCAAAATATTGTCTTCATTACATCTAGATCTCATTACTTATTCAATATCGATGAAATACGTATTCAACTCTTCGAGAAAAAAAGATACAATCAGATGAAATGTTTGACAAAACTTTTGTTATAACTTATATGGACATATTCAAAACGTTCTTACCTACCACCCCTTTCAGATATATGTCGGTGAACCAAACACCCTGTATACAGACCTTCAATCTATACTTACAAAAAACTCAACTCAAAATCTGTTGAAAACAATGCAGATGCATCTTCTGATTACAAGAGACAAAAATATACTGCAATAAAAATCGAGATGAAATCTCCTCCAGATAAACTGGAACAAATAAAAAAATAAAGAAATAAAATTTTACTCGCGAAAAAAATTTTTTTGGCTTATTTATAACATGAAATATTGCCAACAAAAATATCCTTGTACATCTTTCACCTGACATTTGAGAAAATCGTGACTGAAACTATAAAATAATTATGGATTTTCAACGCTCCAGCGTCAGTGTTGCAAAAAGATTCAAATTTACTTAAGAACTGTTGAAAACAGTGCATCTACATTCCTTTGTTCTCAATTAGCTCATGGTTATATTACAGGGTCAACTTTGATCAATTAAAAATTTGTTAGTAATATTTGGCATTTTATTATCAAGAAATCAATATCATCAGCAAGCTGCAAAACTTCTGAAACACGTATGTTTCAATTTTCACGATGATATCACATACACGGCATTTTTTATTAGGAATTATTCATGAAATATCATGATTATATTCAGATATGCTCCTAGAAAACCTTCTAGGTAGTTTTTCTGTAGTTACCATATACAGGATGTTGTTTGTACGAGAGATTATAATTATTATTTTGAGAAACAAGTTGTTTCAAGCTATATACTCTGAGGGATGCTGTTAGTTCTTATGACTACTATTCAATTGCTTATAATATATATTTTTTGTATTTTAAATCGATTATAGTTAGTCGTGCAATTGCAATGAGGGAATTAAGAACTCAGGAAAGTAGAGTACATTGAGTACTGTATGTTGAGCCAAAAAGAATTTGAAAACGGTCAACGAATAATAAAATACAAAGGTGGTGGTACTAAAAATGGAATACACTGTATTCATATGTTTAGATGGAAGAAAACTCTGAGGGCCCCACAGCCAATACGTGAAAATGTCTAGAAAAAAGTTATTTATAGATGCAATCGAACCCAAAACCCAAGATTAGCAAAATTCTGCGAGGTATAAGTAGTTTCAAGATAAACATAATAATAATAATAACCACAATGTTGACATCAATTCAGCAGATATTCTATTCAATCAATAATTCAATCGCACCTTCAGACGTTGCTAAAAAGTATTAGAGCAAGATCAAATGATTTAAATAATCAACCCCTAGCAACTTGTCAGGTCTCGATTGAAATATCACCATTTATCGTGTGCACTGCATGAGCATCTGAACACAAGTGAAAAATCAATCAAAATAACGTAAAATAACAGATATATGCCACCTGCAATTCAATTATGATTCCATAAAACTAAAATAATATGCCCACTAATAACTAGTCGTATATGTGATTAATTATCAGCAAATTGGAAAATAAAAGTTGCGTTTTCAACAGAAAAAGCTGTCAAAAACTGCTCGAACACATTTCTTCGCACGTTGATTTGAAAATGACAATGAATTGATGCACAATAACACTTATTTTAAAAATGTTCCCATTTATAAATAAAACATTTTGGAGTTAATGTAGTATCCTAAAATGAAAAACTCTTAATGATAATAATATACACTTCTCTCAAAACGGCATAATCAGGTAGTTAACAAAAAATATATTTCAATTCAAAACGGTTTGTAGCTTGTGAAAACTCAAATGGAATCATTTTAGCTAGGTTCTTATGAATGAGAATTATGATTTCCATTTAGTATACAATGATGATACAAGTTAGTCATGGCAATTGGCTCTTTCTATTATGATTTGCAAATACAACTATTCCAGTTCTAACTGATTATACCTCCAAAACAAATAAAAACGGGTGAGTGATAATGTTTGAAAATATACAATAGTTTATTATCAGAAAGTGATAGCTACCAATAATGTGAAATGATAAAAAATACCGTAATGATAACATTTTTCATATTCTGACTGGTGATCAACCATTACTCAAAAGAATCTCTTTTTGAGGAGCATATTTCAATGCGGAAAAATATCTATCTAGGTAGTATTTTTTTGGAACTAGTATAGTTTGTGATATCTCCTGCAATTATTATATTTGATTACAGAAGTTCCTTCGCGACTATTCACTTAATCTATCTCATAGCAATCAAAATAGACTAAGAAAACAATATTGTAGTGTTTAGTGATGAATTCAATACTGAAAATTTGAAGTTCAAATAGTAGCTTATCACTTTCACACATTTTATTAATATAAACCGATACGGTTTGTCATTTCATATTTCTATTTCAATTAATATTGCTGTTTACTATTTCTTTTATTCGTATAGTCACTAAAAAAATATGAAAAATGTAAAATTGTGAAACATGTTTTTAAGGCAATGGCACCAACTGCAACCACTTGATAAATTTTGGTTCACACTTTTGTTAAAAATTAAAAAATGTTCATTCATTTCATTTTACACATTTTTGGTCTTCTTGATGTTTGTGAACTATGCTTATTAAATTATAACCTAACAAAGATGGTAAGTAAAAGATAATAGACCTAATGTTTAGAACACGTCCCACAAAATCGTCCGAAATCGATAATTTACTTCAAACCTGAAAAAAAAAAAGATTTTATAACCCACAACACTTTCTATTATTGAAAACTTATTCATAAGTTCTTCTTGCGGGAGATGTGGAAGCTGCGGACTTATTATATAGGACAAGGCAATCAGGCCTATTATTCTGTTTACGAATATTGTTTTGTGAAGATATCATCATGCCAGCAAATTAAACGTCCTGCAACGAGCTATTCCAGAATTGTCCTATGCAGGGTGTCCCGAACTAGAGTGCAATATTCTACCAGCGGCTTCTACGATTGAAAATAATAGAAAAGTTCACAAAATGGTCATATGTTGAAAAATGGCTCCTGAGACTGGTACGCCTCTTTAAAATGGTGGGTATATTGAACATGGTATTCACTCCTAAAATCTGAGCATAAAAATGGTAAATTCGAAATCAATCGATAAAAACGCCATGTAACTCATTTTTTGTGTACATTTGTCCATACAGTTTTCATGACTATCGATTGACTCTTTCAAGTTTTTACTAGTGAAATTTCAAACACTGACATTTTGGGACAAATCTTCTGGTTTGTCCGTAATACAAAATATATTGAAATTATAGTAATAATTTCATTTACAAAAACGATGTGGGATAAACCCAAAAATTCTGATCCTGAAGACGTTCATCTGCTAAATATTTTCGAAACGCTTGTATTGTATATGCATAAAGGGTGAATACACTGTGACCTGATGGATCTATTGTGTCCAATTATTTTGCTATACCCGACGTTCTACGTAGCTATACCAATAACAGAATATGAGGTGGTTACTGGTAGGGTAGCTCCTCCTCTATTATGTGTGCTCCTAGGTTTCGAAACGATTCATAAGAAAATAATGCAATTTCGTCTAGTAACGGGTCTATGCTAAATGAAATGAATTCGAAATTTCATTCAGGGGCATATCAGACAGGATATTTTTTTGAGGTGTTGTTATTTAAAATTTTATTTCCTATCCTCCCCTACCCAACTTGGAAATGATTGATTCTTTATTATATTAAGCATGAAGATATCAGAGTACTGAATTCTCATTTCATTCTCGAGTGTTTCGGAAATAGCCAGGGAAAACAGTTTCAAGATCCTCTTTCAAGAAACCTTATCGGGACATTTGTCTCCGCAGAAACCAGTGGTAAAATATTGCAATTCAATTTCGGAACCCTGAATTGCATGACAACAATTTATTATGGTATGAGGCAACAAATTCTGAACCAACTGACAGGAGAAAACGAAAATACCTCAACAGTTGATAGAGGTCACTGAGGTGGTTCTGAAAAAAACCTTGTTTCTCTTACAGTCTTCATAACCAACATATAGAGGGTTTTTATAGATTTCGACAATTTCTTTATTTATTTATTTATTTATTTAGGGATATTACCTTAGACCTATAATATTGTGAACACTTCAAAAACGATGAGATTTCCACAAAATTCTCGAGAACAGGACGAGTTTCCCAGTATTTTTTTGAATTTGCTACACATGTTCTTATTCGACTACTCCGGCAAACATTGTATCAGACAGAAAAATCAATCAAAAATTGAAAATTTTTTGTGTGATCAAAACTTTGTATATGAAAATTTCGAAAATTTCATTCGAAATTGAAAGGAGCACAAAAAATAAGGATCGAAAAATACAATTTAACAAAACAAATTCTCAACTTGAATGGATTTTTCATTGCATTTGTAACATTTGATATTTCCTGCATTCTTATGCCTCAGAACAATCACATATGTATGCATAGGCTCATTCACAATGTTTCGAGAATATAAGAAATAAGTAGCTGATCGGCTTCATAGACACCTATTTGTGAAATTATTTCGATGATTACAAATTTCTTTCTTAACTCCGCCGAATATGCCTGGCTGAATTCCATGGCAAACGGAAATGAGAGCCAGTACTGAATCAGATTTTAAACAATTAATTTAATTGCAGATCTTGTAGTTCGATTATTGAAATAATGAAATTGAAAAATGGTATCAACTCAAAAAACAAAAAGAGCTGAACGAGAGCGGCTGATGAGGCCTGGGGCCCGATTCTCGAATCTGTTGGAATTTGTTCCCATGGGAAAAACTCGATATTTCCTATGGAAATTTGAGATGATGTATTCTTGAAATATTGTATGGGAAACTATTCCTACACATTTCAAGGGAACTGCTTCCCATGGTAATACCCACGGGAACAACATGTTTCCCATAGGATACAATCATGAAATACGAAGTTATTTTCATTTTTGATGGGAACTAAACCTTAGTGAGAAATCAGAAAAACATATGTATTGCAAAACATGGCAAACATAGATGAAAAAGATCATCTATAGATGCTTCACAAAATTTGGAAGTGGCTGGAATCCTTGCTAGAAGACTGAGAAGAAGGTTTCTGCGTAGATGGGACCAATTGATAAGTGTTTGTCTACTGCATAATTTATTAAAGTTTTTCGTTTGTCCAAAGACATTACTAGAAAATTGATAGGTACTTTAGAATTTTTGTAAGTGAATTGGGGGTGACATTTCCCATTCCTCAAGTCCTCAGAGGCCTCCATTATTTCTATTAAAAGTCTTGGCTGCTCTTTGCTAATACTAACACCACGTGGTTTTTTAATAGTGTTTGTATCCATATCCATTTCGATCAGAGGAAATAAAGTAAATATACAATACACAATAATCTCACAGTCGCAAAATTATATTATTCTATAACCTCAAAATTAGTCAAAATCAAAATGTCAACATTTCATTTCAATCATCCACTAGTTACCAACATGAATTCCACTTATTTCATTGGTGGATTCATCTAAGTTCAAGAATCCATCTGCGACATACGGCACTTTTTCAATCCCCTGGGAAAAACGATTCCATCTGGTTCAAGAATAGGTGTCATGACAAATTATCATTTCCTATGAGAACTGAAAGCATTGGATCATTCTCCTATAGGATCGAATTCCTACAGATTCGAGAATCGGGCCCCTGGTGGACTGAGACATTACGATCCTGTTGTTAACAATTGGGATAACTCATCCTATTTCTTATTCATGAGATCTGGTTGTTTAAACAGGACTGAAGGATATATACTACTCAAGAATATTCAGGTAGTACCATCTGTGAACAGAGTGGTTTATTGTAGTAGCCCTTTGTAACATGTATCGTAGGGATTACACTTGTTGGCTTTAGGTGATTGGCTGTATGGTTCTTGGCGTTAACGTGACTAAAACATCATGTAACATCCGGCGAACTCAATAAATGCTGGGCCACTGCATCATGTATACTGCCAAAATTTTCCTTTGTAGATATGTTCGTTCAATTTAAAAAAATTGACACAAAAATGTTACAGGGTTGTCAGCTCCGAATATCACAATTCTTCAGCAATATTGCTATAAACATAACAACATCTATACAGTGAGGATTATGGCCAGTTGCAAATTGTCAATTGATAATAATGAACACAAAAACTCACCAATAGCTTATTCTCTCTGTCTCCAAGAATCAGTACGTTGACGAGTACTATTGTTGCGATTGCGTCCAGAACCAAATGACTGAGCGCGAGATCTTGCATACTTGAATCCTGAATCCGCTGGAGCGCTAGTACCTGGTTGCGGGTGGAATACATCATTTCTGTAAAAAATAGGAATGTTATGTTTTTTCACCTTCTGAAGCGCAAGAAGGGGACTTCCTATTATTTACGTGGAACATTGTGCGTACCTAGGCAGATAAGGGATGTATTGGAATTTTTTTGAAATTCTCAAAAATTCCTGAGAAAATATACATAAATAACTACACTGTTTCGCGTTCTATAGACAAACAAGTTTTGGTTTTCGACATATTTTGACGTTGACGACAAAACGACTGAACATGTCAAATTCATCTGACTGGTATTGCAGAGGCATAAAAGGCATAAAAGAATTACAGCAGCCATAATTGGAATAAGGATAAGTAGAACCTTATTAATCAACCAAGCAACAATTTTTTTTAGCTAAAATGGACTAGGGACATTCAACTTGAGAGCTTGTGTGATTCATAGCAGCATGGAGAATATAAAATGATCGATATCTTGATAAACTATTATACATAATGCAAATATTTTTGTAAGTCAGCTGAAATAAAATGTGATAAATATGAAAAAGTAAAACATACAATTTATAATAGACAGAGCGATACTACTACTACTACTACTATTAGTAGAAAAAAAGGGAAATAGGAAGAGTCGGATTGTTCAAGGAATATATTGTTAGGGTGCTACCAAACACACAAGTTAACATCAAAAGGGCGGAATAAACATATAATATCAAAGAAGCCATAGCGAGAGAAATTGGAACTGGGAAGGAAAAGGTAGTATTGAAACAGCTACGACAATACAATACAGGGAATCAAACGGGTACGATCATTTTACCAGCGAATAGGGCAAAAAGCATTGAGAGGTTAGGTGTGCGAGGTGCAGCATCAAGGAAAAAGTTCACTTTTGAGATGTTTCAGGTGCCTCGAATACAGACATAAAACAAGAGAGTGTAAAGGAAAGGACAGAAGCGATGGATGCCTGAACTATGGAAATGAGGATCACAAGGCCAATAAATGTACCGTAGAAGCACACTGCAGGAGTTGTGAACAAAATGGGTACACAACCAACTGTCCCCTTCTCAGAAAGCTAATTAGAGGGAAAGGGGACATAACTTGAGGCGACAGAACCCGAAACAATTGCGCCGAGACGATGGTCTGAAACTGCTGCAAACAAACTTAAGACAGAACGCGGGTGGCGCATGAGTAGATCTCATCACCTGCGAGAAAAACATCGGCATACTTAATATAGGAGAACCGAATATGATGATCATGCGGGCAAAAGGTTTTATCAGCGATATTAGGAATAATATCTCAATCTACTCAGAAATAAAAACATAGGGACAATAGTCATCAAAAGATATACGGGATATATCAGGATAGTTACGGAGAGCTGGGACTTGTTGCTACTTGTCGCTAAACGAACCCATAAACAGATTCAGGGATCATGTAGATGAATTAATGCACACAATTAGGTATGAGGGAAAGAGGTTGTTAAAGCAGGTTTAAATAGCAAATCTGCGTACTGGAGGTCCCCCCCGAATGGATAGCTGAATTGGATCTGCTCGTAATGAATACAAGCTTGACTCTTACGTTTGAAAGGGGAGCCTCTGCATCATGAATTGATAGGACGTTTGCCACTTTAGGTGAAGCTAGGAAAATCAAGAATAGGAGATTTCGAGAGGGGAATTCTATACCTTGCATAAACATATATACTAAGGAATCAACAAAAATAATAGGAACCGAATGAGAGAAAGGATAGAGGGGAGACAAAATCATACAATACAGTCAATCAATTACAGCGCAAAACTGAGAAGAAAGAGCCTTCGAGGAAACAGATCTACTACAAGTGAACAGAATAACTGAACGATATAAGCAATAAAAAAATATCTGAAACTCATGATCATTAAAAGGAAGAGGACGACATGGCAATTGCTGTGCCGAGAGCTCGAAGATGACATATACGGTAATGGGTACAAAATAGTCAAGGCATCTAGGCAAATTGCTGCAGCCATTTAATCTTGTAGATGCGAGAAAGGTTGATATTGTTCGGCAACTATTTTCGTACACAGATCGGTGGGTTAGGAACATCGTCACGGCAGATGTAGGACAACTAATCACTAGGGATAGTCGCATGTGATAAAATCAAGGTCGAAAGAGCTCCAGGCCAGGATGGATTCCCGGTGGAAGCTATCAAAGCATTTGTAGAAAATCACCCAGACGCTGCAGTAGAGTTGTTGAATGGTCTACTTCGCCAACAAGAATTTAGAAAGCCGAAAAAATAATTAAAGGGAGGGTGGAGAAAAAAATAGAGGTGAAGTGTAGCATTTCCTCTGGACAATATGGGTTCGTCAAAGGCAAATCATGCTGTGAAAGCAATGATGGCAGAGCTGACAAATTCACCCTAGGTGTGGGTAGCTAAAGCTTTAGATGTGAGAATGCTTTCAATTCAGCTACGTGGAGTTTGGTGATACAGATACTAAAAACTAGACAAATACAACAATATCTGGTAAATATGATGAGTTATTTCCAAAACAGAGGGAATAGGGATCACTAGGACTAAAGATATTGCGGTAACTGCCGGTGTTCCGGGTTTTGTGCTGGGACCTCTGTTATGGAACATTCTGCATGAAGACATACTAACAATAGAAGTGGTAGAAGGAGCAATGACCTTGCCGTATTCGTGATGACAAGAACAAACCCACTAATATCGCGAATGAAGCACTGAGAATAATCGGGAAAGAGAGATAGAACGAATCTCCGATTCATGCTAATGGGACAGGATATTGCGAATTAATCTATCAAATATCTAGGTATTATGTTGGATGATAGAAGAAGTATTGAAGAACACGTGAAATACGCCCTTATGAAAGCAGACAAGAGAATGACGGCCCTTGCCAGGATTATGCCAAATATTGGAGGCCCTAGTTCTACGAAGAGGCTTGTCCTGAATGAGGTGGTTACCTCCATACTGCTATATGGAGCACCAGAATGGGATCTGTATTGCATATAAAACAATATAAAAGTATGTTCAAGTCTATGCAATGAAATATGTTAAGTGGTTGGCGGATACCGCACCATCTCCGCATTGGCCGTATAAGTTGTGGCTGGAGTGTCACCAATTTCATTAGTTATTGAGGAAAGAAATGAGTCATTCAATCAGGAAACAATGCACACTGGTACAGTGAAGAAAGAAATAAGAGAAAGAACTATAAGGAAGTGGCGACCAGTATGGACAGAAAATATCGAAAAGCACAATGAACAAGAACTCGGATCCTAAACATTGCTAAGTTGATGGAATGGTGTTTCAAAAATCTGACACAACTTATAACGGGACATGGTCGATTCAGGAGCTACACATATAAGATGGGTATAGCACCGTATGATGAATGAAACAATAATGAGTGTAGGTAGAGTATTGCGCGCCGATAATATTGACATCATGATGGAGGATGACTTTAAAGACGACACACGAGTTCATAAACGAAATTATGGAGAAAAAAATCAGTTCGAAGAAAGGCGGAGGGAAGACGATGGTGATAACCGAGTCAACTACTAACAGCTGATACGACTGATGTGAAACATATACATGTGGATTCCAGAGTGTCAGCGAAGTTTTGAGGTGGTTCTGGTGGGAAGGCCACTGTGTGGCATAGTTGCACAGTTGAGTAGCACACTGTCTAGAACATGAACCAGCTTAGGCGAGCACGAGCTTTCCACCTGAAAAAATGAAAACTACTACTACTAGATCTACCCCACTTTCTATTTGAAAATTTAGGGTTGTGGCACCTCCTCGCTAGGGGGTTGAAGGCACAGGCTGGAGAATATATCTAAAATGTGTCCCCTTCAAAAGCAAAATCTGTCCGAGCATTTTTGTTATATATTCCAAAAAAAGGAGAAAAAAGCTAGGTGCATACTTTTCGTTGGACCACTCTATAAAAAGAAATATATCAAAAGAGCGTGTCACAAAAGAATTGCCTACCTGCAGACTTTTAGCAGATGACAACTGGAAATTATAGCAGACGGTCTATTTTTGGACAACCAGACATCAAACCAAAAACTTGTGGAACACACGATCGTAATGGAGCGGATTCAGTAAAGAAGCAATAGGCCAAAATTAATGACAGACGAGCCCAAAATGCTGTCGTGTTCAGTGATGTTTTCAAATATGAGTTTGGGGACTCCCATACAGGATGGTTGTAGGGATGCCAATTTTGAATCAATTTTTCAGAGATCGATCTTTTACGCCTAAAAAATCGATTATTTTTTCAAGATCGATCTCGGACTTCTCGTATTGTTGTGTTACTTACGTTCCTTCGGTATTGGGAATTTATTTTTATATTCTATTCTATATATCATTTTTCGTAAAATGCTATATTTTTCGTTGCATTCATGATAAAAGTTCTCAAGTTATTCCATAATGATCTAATCTGAAACAAAAAACAATTTTTTTTTTTTCAAATTTGGAGCTATTTTTGAGGTGAATCGATTTTTGAGGTGAATCGATTTATTTTTACCTCGATCTTTTCTTGATAGATATTTCAGGGACCCGATTCGAATCGATTCAAAAATCGGCATCCCCAGATGATTGGTCCTTCGTGATTTCCATAAAGTATTTCAGCTATACCCACAAAAAAAGACAGTAACAAATGTAACCGAAAGAAATTATATCTCGAAAATTCTTTAATGCTGTAGGAAGACTAGACTTTACATCTAATATATTTCAAGTCATTGAGGTTAACCTATACTTTGAAGCAACTAAAATTAACCTTATATCATGTATCATAGGAATGAATTTCAGTTTGTGATTGACATTTATTGATATTATCATGGATAAATAGCCAATTATTCAAAATTCAAAAACTGAGAACAGTAAAACCTTTAAGAGTTATAAAAAGAGACCCACAGCAGTGTTCGATATACAACGAAAGCGGGTCTTGACTAACCAGCAATAGCTCAATAGCGGGTAGAGGAAGTCAAGGTTACCTGATATATAAATATGTGGGACATATATTTTCTCAATTCATTATTGAAATACAGGGTAATTTTTTAATTCGGGGAAC